CCTGCCCCACTTGCTGGGAATCCAGAGCACCCCCATCTGCAGGCTCAGCGACCTCACACCCCTCTGTCTCCAGCCAACAAGACATCCCCCACCTCTGGGGAGGGAGCCCGCCCAGGGGGCATTATCCACGTGTACGGGGACGACAACAGTGACAAGTCAGCCAGCAGCTTCATCCCCTACTGCTCCATGGCCCAGGCCCAGCTCTGCTTCCATGGGCACCGCGATGCTGTCAAATTCTTCGTCTCGGTGCCAGGTGAGGCCAGGCCCTCTGTCTCACCCACGCCTCTTGGGCCTGTAGCTCAGGCACCCATTCAGGAGGCTACGGTCCTGAGGTGCCTCTGCCCTACCACAGGGAATGTGCTGGCCACTCTCAATGGCAGCGTGCTTGACAGTCCGTCTGAGAGCCCAGGGCCCACCGCCCCTGCCTCCGAAGTCGAGGGCCAGAAGCTGAAGAACGTGCTGGTGTTGAGCGGTGGGGAAGGCTACATCGACTTCCGCATCGGTGAGGGGCGCAGCTTGGAGGTGGGACCCGGGTGCTGGCTGCAAGCCTGGCCCTCATGGCTGCCCTCTCTCCAGGGGACGGAGAGGATGACGAGACTGAAGAAGGCACGGGGGACGTGAGCCAGGTGAAGCCCATGCTGTCCAAGGCGGAGCGCAGCCACATCATCGTGTGGCAGGTGTCTTACACCCCCGAGTGAGCCACCACCTTGCCCTGCCTGATGCCAACATGTACATAGGACCCCCCGCCCACCTGCGTCCCCGCCTGCAGGGCAGCCAGGCGCCCATCCGCCCTTCTTCTAACCTCTCAACCTGCAGCTTTCACCTGAGCCCGGCCCCCATCCAGCTGGCAGGGAATACAGGGATGTGGGTCAGCTGGGAGGAGGGGAGGTAGCATTTCTGCCTGAGAGGGGAAGACCCTCTTGGGGCACCCTTTCCTCAGCGGCTTCTGGCCAGCATCCAGCCCAAAGTCCTCGAGTCCAGGACACCCTGGGCCAGAGCAAGGCGGGTCTGAGGTGACTGTGAGCAGGTGGCCCTGGTTCCACCCTGGGCTCCCCACTCCCTGGCATCCCCAGAGCAGGACACGGGCTTCACACTGCTGAGTCTTCCCGCCCTGAGCCCACCTGCCTCTGCATGCTGCCTGCAGGGTTCCACCCTGCCTAAGGGAGCCAGGCCAGTGACGAGCCTTTGCCCAGGGAGGCACGCTCAGCCTGCCCGGGTGCCTGCACCCAGCTAGCCTTCTCTGGGGCTTCCCCTATCCCCAAGCTTCTGTTCCCTCAGCCCCCACCCTGGCTTCCCCCCTGCTTAGGGGTCTGGCATGAAAGCGCAGGCCAGGATCCCTGGGGTAGCTGCTTGAGAAGACAAAACCAGCTACCCCTTTTCCCTGGAGCCCGTGGTCGTCCCCAGTGTGGGTGGGCTCTCACCAGTTCCCTCCCTGACCCATGTCCCCCAGGCTCTACCTGGGCAGAAGACTTACCTTGGAGGAGCAGAAGCCCTCCCAGAAGCCCCTAGAGTGGAATTTCTCAGGCCGCCAGGGCAGGCCCAGGCTTCAGGAAGAAGGGGAGGCCCCTGGCCTCTCCTGGGGTCGGTCCTAGGACGCAGGCTCAGCCTCAGGTTGATGGGGGATGGTGTGCTCCAGGGGCCTGCCTCCTGCACGTCCCAGACACGCTACTAAGTGCCTAGGGTTGCCTGCTGTGGCCTGCTCCCAGAGAGTAGTTGACAAGAGGCTGCTGAGCAAAGCCCGGAGGGCTAGAAGCGGAGCCAGCCTGGCTCTAGGCACATAGGGCAGGTGCCACCCTGGATTCCCTCCCAGGGTGGACGGGCTTTGGGGCCTACTCCCACCTTCCAGGCCAGGCCTTACTCTGCTCTGGGAGGCCCCAGTCAGGGCAGCCCAGCCCCTCAGCCTGCCCCTCCCACCAGAGAAGCACAGATCTCGGGGAGCTGTCCCATGAGTCCAGCTGGCCACCACAGGCTGCAGCCATGTGCAGCTGCAGGCTTCTCCCCACCACCCTACCACCTCCACTGTGATGTATGTCAGGTCCCTCGTCTGTTCCCACGGGTTGTGAAGTGACTTGGGGGTGAGCCAGGTGGGGGCAGCTGGGGAAGGGTGACGATTCTCCTCAGGCTTTGGCCCTGCAAGTGAACCCACATATCTGCTCTGTATGTAATAAACGTCTTAACGTCGTACCTCTGTCTGTCCGTGGGCTTAAAGCAATGTGACAATGAGGATTTGCCTCCGTTTATTATTAAAAGAAACACTGGACGAAGCTGGGCACCATGAAAAGCCCTGGCACGTTCCCAGGGTGCTGTGGACGCCATACGCAGGCTCTGACTCCGGAGTAGCTCCTCTTGGCCAGGAAGGCTGGGCGCAGTCCACACGAGGTCCTTCCTGCAGGGGCGCCACGGTCCCTGCGCAGAAGGGATGTTCGGAGCCCTGGGGGGTGGGGCCCAGAAGTCTGGCTCGCTCCAGGCCTGGAGGATGCTGGAGTATCCCAGCCTCTTTTAGACACGCACATCTGCCCGGGTGGCTACTCGTACAGCCAGTGCCCGGCGCTGTCCTCCCAGCACAGGAGCTCGTCTGTGCTGAACCACAGTGCGATTTCGCGGCGGGCGCTCTCC